ATATTAAACATATAAAGCTGCTGCCAATAATTTGTTTAACAGAGCATATTTAGAATGGTTCTAAATTAAATTTTAACTATCTCTGTCGACATATTTCAAAACAATGTTAATCACAAAGGTCAAGTAAAACTGACTTGTACACCATCGTATTTATAGCACTAGTTCTAAAAAGTAAAATTAATTTAATGAAATAACAATGTGCAATTCGTTTTACGAGTATACACTTTTGTCAATTAATTGTGTATTTATTTCGTGTCTATTTTATTTTATAGTCAGTCTTTGCGTAATATAAGTAGCTAATTAAATTATTTTTATAGATTAAAAAGTTACGTAGACATGATCAGTAGGAGTTAAACTGATTAAAATTTCATTTTCTTGAGTTTGCAAATATTATTTTCTCAAACTGAAAGAGAAAAATTTTCAAGAGGTTTTATAAGTTATATTCGAATATCTAGTTATTATACAAAACGCATTAATTTGAATAAATACATCGAAATAGGTTCTAATAAAAGAATATAAGTGGATTCTTGCTATCAAAACTTTTAAAATTTTCACACGGGATTTGATAGTGTTTTACGATATTCAGAAATAATGTATTTCGATCATGAAAATACTTGATTTCTGAATCAATTTAACTACAATTTTGACAAGTTCTTTTAATGATTACAAATTAGAAGTCTCTTAATTCATTTAACAGATCTTATTTAATTGCAGCTGAAGCGTATTTAATTAAAGAAATTAAATGTCATTTAAGGTTAATTCTTTATTTATATACACTAATAACATTTATATTCACAATTAATATAAGATATCAATTTAACATATAAAAAGAATTGTTAAGTTTATGATTTTATTTTTATTTTATATCTACATTAATCTACAAATACAGTAATTAAAATTAAATTTAATTCGAAATGTATAAATAAGCGTTTGTTATTTTTCGCCAGTTATCATTTACAATGTTTTTTTTATAACTTATATTATTTGTTCAAAAATTTTCTTTTAAATTGAAATTTTGGATTATATCCAAATTAAACAAAATTTATCGATCAAATTTAAAATCACATACTTAACAAAAATTATTTGAATTAAAAATATCAATTATCTATCATTTAAAAAACTTTTATGTTTTTTTTTCCTTATAAAATTATTCTTATCACAAAACTTTGACCAAAAAAAAAACAGAAATTCAAAAAAGATAGACGAATAAAATGGACCAAGAAAAAGAAATTTTTATACCAAATTACAGATAAATTTCATTTTTTCCTCTTTTCGATAAAGCTGAAACAATTTTATTAACTAGAACTATTGTTTACCACAATAAAATGTTCGAATCTACACAATATAAAAATTGGTATTTTTTTTAATTTTTAACATTCAAAATTTCATGAAGACATCATATAAGCACCGTATATTTTATGTTTAAACTGTTTTTGTACTTAAATATTTTCATTTATTTATTATGATTTGAGTATACTTTAAGAAACATCAGAAAATATATTCATATCTCGTTTTAGATATTTATTCAAGTGTACTGAAAAAAAAAAAATTAAATATTTATAACTGAAAACCAAAAACATTTTTTACATTACATTAAAATTTATTGTTATATTACATTGTTATATTAAATAATATTCTTAAGGAGTTGTTTTAATTAGATAAAATTAATTTCTCGTATTCATGAGATAAATTAAATTATTATGCAATTCGTTTTACGAGTATACACTTTTGTCAATTAATTGTGTATTTATTTCGTGTCTATTTTATTTTATAGTTAGTCTTTGCGTAATATAAGTAGCTAATTAAATTATTTTTATAGATTAAAAAGTTACGTAGACATGATCAGTAGGAGTTAAACTGATTAAAATTTCATTTTCTTGAGTTTGCAAATATTATTTTCTCAAACTGAAAGAGAAAAATTTTCAAGAGGTTTTATAAGTTATATTCGAATATCTAGTTATTATACAAAACGCATTAATTTGAATAAATACATCGAAATAGGTTCTAATAAAAGAATATAAGTGGATTCTTGCTATCAAAACTTTTAAAATTTTCACACGGGATTTGATAGTGTTTTACGATATTCAGAAATAATGTATTTCGATCATGAAAATACTTGATTTCTGAATCAATTTAACTACAATTTTGACAAGTTCTTTTAATGATTACAAATTAGAAGTCTCTTAATTCATTTAACAGATCTTATTTAATTGCAGCTGAAGCGTATTTAATTAAAGAAATTAAATGTCATTTAAGGTTAATTCTTTATTTATATACACTAATAACATTTATATTCACAATTAATATAAGATATCAATTTAACATATAAAAAGAATNCATTTAGAAGAAATATGAAACTAGTTGAAGAATATGCTTGATGGTTATTTGATGGTTCTCGATTTTTTGAATATACTTCACACATATCACAAGTGATGTGAAGATTCTTAAATAAACAGAAATATTCATTTTTATGGTTAACAAATCACACGAAACATTTTGTTTCCGTGCAAAATACATTAGAAAATATATAATTCGCAACAAAAGTTTCTCATTTACTCAATAACCTTTCATAGAAAATATTATTATATTTATTCAAAAGTTGGATTTAATGCTTCGAGCAATAAATAACCGTGTAATTAATTTAAAACGGTAAGATGTTTTGGTAATATGTGGTATAATTTACTTTTAGCAGAATTAACTTTTAAAGATTCATTTGTATTATGTTTTAACAATTACTTTATTAAATTAGTAATTGACTTGTTGTAGCTAATTATACAATATTAAAAATTCAAATAGCAAATTTTTAAAGATTAAACTATATAGCACATTGTATTTTAAAAAAACAGTATAATTTATTATTACAAAAATCAATATAACTGTTTCTAAAAAGTTTATCATCTTTTTATTTTTAATTCTTAACAATGACATAAGAGTTCCAATATAATAAAATTAATATAAATAAATTAATTATTATTTACTATAAAAATAATTCATTGTTTAATATAATACATTTTAGCTTAATAATATTAATACATTATTTATATAAAAATATACTACAATATACTAAATGTGAAAAAACAAAAGTGCTCAAAACTTTAAAGGAAAAAATTTTGAAAAGCTGTAAATTAACAAAAAACCAAAGGATGTGAAATAAACTCAATTAATTTTATAAAATATGAGATTTTTAGCCGAAAGAAACTCATAAATGAAAAATGATAATATTTCATGCCTTATTTTCTTTTTTTTTTTTTTACTTCAGGTGTCATAAAGAGACATGAGATAATTTAATCGATTTATTGTGGACTAGATGCTTACTCCGGGCTAACTTCACCAAGCGTGCTTAAATTATACTAAAGTTGCTCTATTTATATTAATTATAACGCCTGTTTCACACCTAGAAATTCGATAATTTTCATAGCAATCAACATGAATATACAGTAAATTTATTTTCTAATGTGAAGCAGGAAGTAAAATTTGATGATTATTCCAATGTGATATATCGGAGAAAATTATTGCAATACAAAGCATTTGGAGATGCTCAATTATTTAATTCAATACTAAAATCTGGATTATTAGTACACTTAAAACAATATATTGCACTTTAATATTTTACTGGACTGTTAAAAAATTTAAAGTAATTGAAATAACATAAATATTTTATTAAATTTTAGAAACTGTCGTAACTTTAAAGTTTATTATCATTTTAAAAATTCGATTTGTAACTTATGTGAAAAATTTTTCATAAGCATAATTTCCAAACCCAACTTTTATCTTCTAGGTATATTGTCACTGATTATCCATTTATGCAGGATATTTAGGCGTTATATATTATATTATATAAGTTACAAAATAATATTTATTCCCATAATTCATCTATTTTATGCATGAATCCAGATACAGTAGCAACAAATATTGCTACAACAGATGACGTATATTTCGCTTTTTCTAGCTTTCCCTTTTTTTTTTTTTTTCTTTTTTTGCTCTCATTTTTTTTACCTAAAAATGGGAAAATATAACAGAGGTCTTGTCAAAATAAAAATATTATCGAATCACAAACTATTCAGCTGCATCAAAATAAATACGTATTATCGTTTAAAGTGCCTTTGTATTGTATATACAATTCAATTATATGATTGCATGGAAAATACACAATATATACTGCACACTAAACTTTTGTAACTTACAAAACTGTTTTCTAAAAGCTTCTTGAGTTTATATATATTATATATAACTGATACCGGTATCTTAAACTTACAGCGTAATAAAATCCTATCTTCAATGACGGAATAAGATTTTATTTTGAGACGGATCAAATCTCTATATAACTTCAAAAGAAAGTCAAGCAAAATGTTTAGATTATAAATATAATTTTCAATATTTTCTACAAAGAAGTATTTACCTATAAAATTATTTATAACCGCGTTTATATCTTTATTTAATTTTATTATTGCAATGACTTAATCCAAATTAAAGTATATAGATTTTCCGAAAATATAAGATAATTCGGAAAAATTACTTATTAGATTAATTAAAATCTTAATAGTGAGAACTGCACCAAATTAGCAGCAATGGATATCGTGATGTCTCTCTCTCTCTCTCTCTCTCTCTTCGTTCCTCTTTATATATAGCATTTGGAAATTTCTCATTAGCATCTCAAACACGAGATGATAATAAGATGGACATCATTTTTACGTTAGTTGAGAGGAAATTAAAAAGGGAAAAAAATAAGAAACTTATGCTACCATCAAAAGATTTCATACTGCCGCAATTCATTGAGAGTTTCACGTAATTAAACTTATGTAATTCATCTTTAATGACAAAGATAGCGGGACAACATAATTATTGAAATTTTGCAAGGCCAGTTAATGCCCAGGATGCTAATATTTAACGGTTGTTTACCAATTGGTTCCGCTCAGTCGACTGACCGAATGGAAGCAACTGGATAAAATTCCTAATTGGTCTACGGCATATTACTAATAAAGCATAGTAACTAGTCTTACCTATAGTATCCTTTGCTTGCAGTCACGTGCTTAACTTCTTAAAATCAAAGGATGGAAGGATTAGGAAGAGAATCAGTCAAGCAAGACTGTAACAATGTCGGTTGCTGGCGGTCGATATTTCTACCACAATTTCCTACCAGAAATTCCAAATTATAAACAAAAATAATATACATCGGAATTAAAATATTTCTTTTCCAGAAATTCTCTTTCTTTGTGAATGTTGCGTTGTTTTATACCAGATGGAAAAGGGATGCGCTGCGAGTGATTTACCACAGCATTACTAGATTCAATAGTTGAAGAGCTAAGTAGGATGCAACCCTGGCGACGGACTGGGAAAACATTGACTATGGCGCACGCGCACCGCACCCAAGCCAAGCAGACGACGATTACTTTCTATGTTTAAATATCATTATCGACCATAAAAATCATAAAATATCTTTTTATCTCCAATTTAATAATTTAAAAAATTTAATTAAGTTATAATAATAATATTATTATTTTGTTCCTTCTGCAGTATACGATGCTCTCTGGAAAGGCACCCTTTCAATCCTACAGCAGAGAAGCTAGTGCANTTGTTTATGTTAAAATATATTTTAGTAATTAATGAATAAATAAATAAAATCTTGAAAAGATATTAATTGAGAAAAGAAACTCATACATGAGTAATGGAACATATTACAAGATTCCCTATTATGAATCCTATATATATATTCAGCGTTTTATTAACTTTTATTCCCAATACAGAACTATAACTTATCTTTCATGAATGAATTATAACCAATTCTTAGCTTCTTCACAACAACCTTAATTATGCATGTGTGTGTAACTTAATGCACAGTATTATTATCCAAACTGAATTACAGTTTGGATCGCTGTTCGTTTCAGTAAAGTAAGATTTTTTTTCTCTCTCTTTTTGTAATTCTTCCATCTAAAGATCATGTCGAGTCGGATTTTTTCCAAGGGCATCACAATATCCGTCTTTCATATTTTTAGATTTTCCATCAACAACTTTTTGATATATTAAATATAAATCTTATTGNACAAAAATAATATACATCGGAATTAAAATATTTCTTTTCCAGAAATTCTCTTTCTTTGTGAATGTTGCGTTGTTTTATACCAGATGGAAAAGGGATGCGCTGCGAGTGATTTACCACAGCATTACTAGATTCAATAGTTGAAGAGCTAAGTAGGATGCAACCCTGGCGACGGACTGGGAAAACATTGACTATGGCGCACGCGCACCGCACCCAAGCCAAGCAGACGACGATTACTTTCTATGTTTAAATATCATTATCGACCATAAAAATCATAAAATATCTTTTTATCTCCAATTTAATAATTTATGTCATTTAATTAAGTTATAATAAATTACAAATATTTTTTTTTCGATTATAAAATTTTTAAAAATTATTTACGAAATTTCATTTCGGTTTTTTAGTTTTCATTTTTTTTTTGTTCTTTTTTCAATGTTAAATTTTAAATTGAAGTAATCCGTAATTTTAAAATTGAAAAACAAAATATAAAATGGAAAATTTACGTACAACAGTCATTTGTTTTTGTTTGTTTTATTTTTATTTATTTATTTAGTTCAAGCAACAATAATGCTTATTTCAAAATATTAAGAAATTAAATTATAAAAATAATTCTGTGTTTTTAATGTAATAAAATTTAATAATAAATTTAATAATTGTTATATATGTTTCATGAATCTTCAGTAAAATTTTTAAAACATAATTAATAAATAAAAATCAACTATTTTAAATAATATAAACATAATTTCATTAATATATATACATAATATTTATTTATTTATCGTGAAAAATTAGTAAAATCTTAATAAAAATTTATTTAAAATATTATTCCAAAGTTTATGGCGTACATTAAGATTCCCTCTACGCTTATAAAATATTTAATATTTATAATATATTTATGCAGATTATCTTCATTTTCGCATAAACAATTTCAGTATTACTTTTTACTTAATTTAAAAAAAATAAATAAAACTCTTATAAAGTAATGTTTATTTGAAGATTAAAAAATAAATAATTTTACATTCGTATTTTATAAATTAAGATATTTTCTTTCTATTAAAAAAAGTGCCTTTTTAAATATTTCAACTGAATATTGCTTTTAAATAACAGAAAATATTATCAATCATATAATTTAGTTATCGTAAAAAATTTTTATTTGTATTCTACTTAATTTTATTTATTATGATTTAAAATATGAAATAAACAGTCTATAATAATTTTACTTTATTTATTTTCGGAGATATTCTCAACGAAATAATAATTTCATTATTTTAATCTCTTAAAAAGTAAATATAAAGAAAAAATAATAATGAGAAAATGTCAAACGAACGCAAAATTTATAACAAATATATGGCAAATGGTTATTTCAATAAACCAGATGAAATATATATATATATACAGTATGTGGTTTATCATGTCTAATCTGATGAAATTTTATGGCGCCAATCTATTTTATGCATGAATCCAGATACAGTAGCAACAAATATTGCTACAACAGATGACGTATATTTCGCTTTTTCTAGCTTTCCCTTTATTTTTTTTTTTCTTTTTTTGCTCTCATTTTTTTACCTAAAAATGGGAAAATATAACAGAGGTCTTGTCAAAATAAAAATATTATCGAATCACAAACTATTCAGCTGCATCAAAATAAATACGTATTATCGTTTAAAGTGCCTTTGTATTGTATATACAATTCAATTATATGATTGCATGGAAAATACACAATATATACTGCACACTAAACTTTTGTAACTTACAAAACTGTTTTCTAAAAGCTTCTTGAGTTTATATATATTATATATAACTGATACCGGTATCTTAAACTTACAGCGTAATAAAATCCTATCTTCAATGACGGAATAAGATTTTATTTTGAGACGGATCAAATCTCTATATAACTTCAAAAGAAAGTCAAGCAAAATGTTTAGATTATAAATATAATTTTCAATATTTTCTACAAAGAAGTATTTACCTATAAAATTATTTATAACCGCGTTTATATCTATTTTTTATTATTCAATTTTCATAACAACTAAGTTTGAAATTCAGTTCAATTATGTCTATTTCTTAAATGATTTTAATGGTAAAAATATCATAAAAAGATTTTGTTAATTACGTTTGATAGGATTGACTGACAACTGGAATAGGTGTCAATAAGAATGGATTATAATATTTCATTATTTACTGATCTATATATATAAAATTGCTTGTCCTGACTGACTGAATGACTCACTGATTCATCATCGCCCATAGCAAACCGCTGAATCTAAAGAGGTGAAATTTGGTACACGGTTAGGGTACGTCATGAAAACGCACACTAAGAAGGGATTTTTCGAAATTCCCTCGCGAGGGAGAGCATTAAGGCTTAACCGGAAGAACGGCTTCTACTGTACTATTTTAGACGCGATTTTTTGTTTTATCTGCGTTTTAGTAGGGTATGCCATGGCAATGCACACTAAGAAAGAATTTTTCGAAATTTTTCCCGCTGNTTATATTAAATTCATATTTCGTTAACAAATAACTTTAGTTTTGGCTTTTAAATAATTGTATAATTTTTCTTGAGTCTATATCAATCATTATGAAATCTCCTGGTTGCAAAATATTTTAATTAAAATTGATTATTGGTACTTGTACAATTTTCGATAAAATGAAACAAAATTTGTTAGTATTCATTATATTCAGATGTTATCAATAGAATATGAAAACAGGATAAGCTTTACACTGTTAGTCTTTATTTTAATGAAATATATTAAATAAGTTACGTACAGTTTCATAAATCCTGGTTGAGCGATGCTCGGTACTCGTAAGGGGTTCAAGAAGTTTTAAAAAGAATTTACTTAGTAATTTTAACTTCTCACAACATACAAATTTTTAAAAGATTAAAAGAATTTTAATTGAAATCGTAGATTTAACTTACATTTACTTTAATAAATACAGTTACAAATAAAATTAAAAGTATTGTATAATTTAAAAGTCATTACATTCAGTAAGTAGGTCTAATCTAAAAATAGAATACATCGCATACGATGATGCTTCCAAATCCAGTTTATTTAATATAACAGAGTTATTCGAGTATTTGATCATAAAAGACATCCTTAGTCTACATTATCTTGGTAAATCGAGACTCTACCNATTATACAAGTTTCCTTTACATTGAATTAAAAGTATTTTCCTATTTATTCACTTTTTTATATATATTTTATTTTTATGTTTATTTCAATTTTTTATTTATTTGAATTTTTCTTATTTCTCCTTTAAATGTAAATTTATCGTTTTGCTCATTTGATATGCAGTTTAACTTTGTAACGTATTTTTATTTATTTGTTTTTTACCTACATATACAGATAGATAATACGATCAATAGATATTAATTATTTGCCTTGTTTAGTTTAAGATAATAAACAATAAAGATATAAAAAATATTGATACGCAAACAAACTCCTTCTCACCTATGATAAATTATCATTGCTTTTATCTAATTATATCTTTATGGATTCATAGTCTGAACAAATGAAAAGAATAGTTATACAAGAAAATATAATTTTTAAAATTATTTTTATATTTTAAATATGTATAAATGAACATCAGGAGAAATTAGAAAGTAATGTAAAAAGTAGGAGAAGTTAGAGTACTTTCAATCTGTTCGTTATAAATAATTGATTAAGAAACAATTCACATTAGATATCACAAGTTTTGATAAAATAGATATAAATTATAAACTTACATTAAAATTATTTTTCATATCTCTTAATTATTTATCATGTAGTGTAAAAGTTCAAATAATCATTTATAACATAATAACTTTGATTTATTACTTCGAATAGCACAAACGACTATTTGTAATATTACGATTAACAACGTTATGTATATTGATTTTTCTATAAAAATATATTTATGCGATAAACTAATTTTATAAGCAGGAATATAGAGACTAACATTAAATATTAAATTGCAATTATTAAACTATTTCGATTTTATAGGAAATATAATATATTGATTCAAAGTAATGGATAAAAATTCGATTTAAGTTGAATTTTATCTTATAACCTGACACTGTACTGTATATGAATTTTTCTTTTGAATAAACACTTTTTTCGATTATCTTATAGACAATTTCAATATAAGCTTATATCTAATTTTATATCTTATTTTTCTAAATTAGTAATAAACTTAGTAATCCAATAATAAATCGAATTACATGATTTTATTTTGTAAAATTTAAATATAATATTAATTTATATTACAGATTTGGCTAGAAAATTAATAAAATAATTTCAGAAATTTTGTAAAGCGAATGACGTGATTGATTTAGTTGAACATATAAATGAAGAATAAACCATAAATCACAATTTTCTAGACTTTCGTGGTATTTCATTATATTATTGTTGTTAGTATTTTGTTTAATTGAAATTTTTAATTAATCAATTTAAAAAGTTCTGGCTTTTATAAAATCGAATAAACAATATAATTTTAATTATGTAAGAGCTGAGAAAAGCAGACAGCAAAGTTTACACAGCCATTTCTCATAAATCAATTGATAGTTCATTTTCAGAAACTCGAAGAATCAAAGAACTTGTTATAATCAAATTATCAAAGAGAACATGCATGATAATATAAGTATAAAATAATATTTTAATATTACTAATAAAATCAAATTCTCGATTAATAATAAAAATATGTATCATTATTTAAAGCAATTTCTCATACAAGCATTCTGCAAACTTCACGGTAAATATCAAAGAGTAAATACATTATATTATCGAGAGTAACTGTTATCAATACAATTTTTAAAAAAATTATTTTTGTAAAATGTGAATGTTTATCGTTTGAATACATATTTTATTCCGGTAATACAAATACAATTATGCTTATTGTACTGTACTGTATATATCCAGAAAGCTGTAAAAAAAGGAATAGAAATTGCTTCGTTAATTTGTTATTAAAAAATAGATTTTAATTTCTACAATTTTTTAAAAAGTTTGTTTTTGATTTTATATTAAATATACGATGATTAATAAATTTGTAATTTATTTAGACAAATTTAAAATGAGAAAATTTTAAATCGAAACTAAGTAAATATACGATGAGAAAAATCAGGAATTTTGTTTATTTTTATTAACATACTTTTAAAGAGAATCTCTCTTTTTAATTTAAAGTGAATCATCGTTTATTAATAGTGTGGTTATCAAGATTTAAATTCTGTATATATATGAATGTTCTATGCCAGAATACAATATTCTAGAAAAGTCTATATCATTCAGACAATAATAAAAGACAGACACTTTTTTGCCTATTTGTAGCTTCGCTATTGAATATTTTATAATAATGCGTTATATAACGTTCTAAAATATTTCAAAAACATCTTTAAATATTTTATTTATAAAGAAATTTGATAACATAGGGATAAAAAAATACTAAAATCACAATTATACAGGTTTACCGGTCTATGAAACTACAAAACTTTAAAATGATAATAAAATTCGAAAGTTCATCAAAATTTTTATGGAAAAAATTTAAAATTGAAGAGAAATAACTTATTGGAAACATATTATGATGGATAATTTTCCAAGTATGATAGATTATTGCAAGCGTATCTAACTATAGAAACAATGTAACATATAAAGCTTTATGGCAAGGAATTAACAATTTTATAAGTGATATAGGATAACCTAACCATGTGTTTTTTTCATTAAAATTTATAATTATGAAACCTTTAAAAGTTTCGTTTATTAAAGAATTATTGATTTAGAATACAATAATAAAAATATATTAATTATTAAAATTACAATTATTTTAAATTTGCTAGTCAACTGTTTTCCAATTGCAACATTATTCACAATTTGCTTACCATAACATAATGTTTTATAAATAAATAATAACAAGTTTTTATGAACAAATGGTTCAAAAATACAACGCATGGTTTCTGCTTGACACTTGCGATAAACTTGGTCGGAAATCTCAAATCGGACATTTGTGTTATATTATTAGATCGTTTGAGGCTTGCATAGAATATTGTTTGGCAGACCAATTTTCATTTTGCCATTAATCGTTACTGCTTACGCTACTAATATTGATATTCTAACGTATGTCGACATTAACTATTGCTATATTATTCAGCGATGACTATGAGAAAATTATTGAAAATACAGTATTATAGAAACGAAAAATGATTAACTGCATATTAAAAGTTTTTTTACTTTACTTTGAAAAAGTAATAAGAACTTCTCAAGCATACACTATATAATTTATATGATAAATATTAAGAAGGAATAATGAATTGTTTTTGTATCTATAATCTTGATATGATACACGTTTTAATAAAATTTTCCGATTTTACATTAAATGAATGATAAAAAATGATTTTCTAGTGGGAGGAAAGTATCTAATTTAAGCAAATTTAAAAGTTAAATGATGATGCTATAATCTCTACTTAAGCCTATTCTAAATCACAAACCCCAAAGATGGATTGTAACTGAAAAATATAAGTTCAAGTTTATATTAGAAAACACTTGATTAAATTAACTTATAACACTATTTCGTATATTCGCTATTAAATATTTTATATAATACAATTATATATGTATTATATATATATAGTATATAGAATACATAATTCATCGTGACATATTAGTAAATTCATACACTAATTTATTAATATATATTACCAAACGAGATGTATACATACTTAATATTAATAGTATTAAATTGCTAAGTAATTTATAATATCAAGAAATTAATATTGATACATTTACAATATTTATTATTTTTTTAATTTGGATCATTTTTACTTGTACTTAAAATCTAATATTTGTTTTAAAACTAAAATTATTGTTATAATTATTTTAATAAACAATTTGATAAAGAAAAAGCAATTACTAAATTATCTGAAATAATATTACATATTATCAGGTAATTGGGATGATTCGAAAAAATAAGACATAAAGTTTGAAGACAATAGAAGAAATGAATAAATTTCTTTGACACAGAATGACGATTTAATTTACAGTAATATTGTTCGCAGTCTTCCGTTACAAAACAATGATTATAATTTAAAACGACAAACATTTTCAATTGATATCTTCGAAAGATTAGAAGACCTTCAGATACAAAACAATACATTCCCGATATATTAACGCTCATGTGACTTTTAAGATATAATCTAATACATGCTATTTATCTGCTTATTACTTAAAATCTAGTTTTTGCACAACTGTCTAGGTTTCGTTATGGGTTTGATATTGACTGTGCCGTTAATTATCATCATAAATGTTGTTAGAAAGTATTTTTCTCAGAAACAAAACTCCAGTAAGTACTTTAGCCTTGTTAAACTCTAATTAAGCCAAGATAACTTTTAAAAAACCATTAATCATTGTTACAGTAATTTACAGTAAAATTATAATTCCGATTTTAATTACGTAAGAACAAAAATTATTAGCTTATTATTAAGATTTAATTAAATTCTTAAATTTTCTGATAGAATATTTATTTAATTATAATGGAAAAGTGTAACCTAAATTTAGATAAAATTTGTATATTTTAATTTTTGATCTTATTTAATCTTCGTATTAAAATTTTAATACAGAATATAAATACACAGTAAATATTTATAAACAGACTTTATCCTTGATCAATGATTAATGAAACCAGATAATATTGAAGGCTTTTCTGATAAAACTAGTTAATTGAAATCACTCCTATTATCGCAAACAATGGATAGTATTTTTTACAATCTTATGTTGAAATACGATAAGATTCTATTTTTTTTAAATGACGAATTTTTTAAAGATAAACCTAATAAATAATAGTGCTATTCATCGTCTTACTTTAATTAAATATAGCTGATAATTAATAAAATTAATATTTTTATAATAAAACTTTATAAATATTGTTTATCATATCTGTGGCATTTCATATAATTATCTAACTTCACATATATATTGATATAAAAGTAATTTTATTTTATCAGAAACATATCTTCATTATAATCATAAATGTTGAAGCTTGTTAACACATACTGTAACTGTATTAACAAGCTTCATCATTTATGATTATAATGAATAATAATTGTTTAACACTAGAACAAAGTTCTCTATAGTTAAAACTTCAGCGAAATTATTAAAACAAGTACAGTTTCATGAAAAGTTCTCTCTCTCACGATCTTATACTTGCATTCACGCACTGTATTCAGTTACATACTCGCTTTATTAACATGTTATAATAACGATAACTCTATTAAATTTTAATAAAATTTTAAAGTAAAGTTTATTTGTTTATTTATTTATTACAATGACTCTCGGAAAAGCTTTGAGACAGTTGATTTGCACCCCATTTACACAACAAGCCCAAATAAACAAGTAAAATTACAATAAGACAAAAGATAAACACAAAAAGCTATAGTATGATACATAAACTACATATATGGCGGAAAGATATATAAAAGTACATATAAAATACGTGTATATAAACGGCGGTATGGATGCATATTAATAAAAAGAATAATTGTAAAGAACAAAGACGCTGAATAAAAATTTAAATTATTGTAAATCACTTTAAACTGGGATAAAGATTTTCATTGCATTTCAATCGAAATTTATCGATTTATCGAATAGCTAACAGGTTAATTTTTTACTTAAAATTAAAACTCTTGAAAAAATAGATTTATTCTTTAACGTTACCATCATAGCCGTATTAACTAACCCATTATCGGATTCTAGGCTTTCAGGTATTTCGGGCCCCCTCCGGGACTTCAATCTTTTATCTCACTACAGTTTTCAGTCTGGCCCTACGTACAGTACTGCAGTCTAGTGAACACTAGACTGCAGTACATAGCCCTATATCAATTTTGAACATCTAAAGAATTCTATATACATTACATATATATTTAAAGTTGACAGGTCACTACCTCGCTGGGCCCATAGGTTTTAGTCTAGTCAGTTATAACGGCCCTGATTACCACATACTAAAAAAGTTCATTTAATAAAAGAAATTTATAAAATGCAATAGATTCACGAATGTTTAACAGTTGTCAAGTCACTTGCCGAATCTATTGTACTAGACGAAAACCTAAAATTTTCAAGATTAACGAGTCAATATTATTATAATTTCCTTCCTATGTTTTCAGTTTAAAACGGTTTTCAAAATATAAATTGAAATTTTTTAATATCTAAGTATTAAATGAACGGAAAAAATAATTAAAGTTGAAAAATAAATATTATAAGTGAGATTTGATTCTTTAAAGATAAAATATAAGTTCTTTTTATTTTGAAATATATTTGACATATGAATCAAGAGATAAATTTAAATTCAATTTTTCTCCCGAGAAACTTTAAATATTGTGTATCCTGATAGTTCCATAAAACGAAAATAAAAAATGTGAAAACAATTTTTGAGAATATTTCTTGAACTACACATTATCATAATATATTACACATATTTTATTTAGAGTACTAAATAGACTTTAATAAACTAATAAAATGGAAAACAAAACGGAAAATTATTAACGATAATAAAAAATTGCCATGCTGCAAATTAAAATATTTTAATTTTAAAAAATCACCTGACTTCCGGTCCAGGCCGTAAATTCGTTTATAGTTAATCGGGGTCGCTGTCCCCTAAGCTTTTCATATCTCGTCTTAATTTTAGTAGTGTCTTGACCCTGTACATCATACTTCTCCTGATAACAATCGAGTCATGCCGGCCATCTATTTAATTCCGTTCTCGAGAAAATTTTTATTGAAATCACGTGATTTCCGGTCGAGATTGGAATTTTGTACATACTTAATTGTTCCTGCCCCTAAGTTTTCTATAGTTGGCCTCGATTTTTATTTATCTAACACTGTTCTCGAGATTAAAGAAGGAAGGATGGACGAACAAACGGACAGACAAACAGGCGGACAACAGTGAGAATTTGTTGGTCCGCAATTTAAAAATTACAGTCCAATAAGATATTTTAAGAAAAGAATTTAATTTAATTATTTCGTTGTCATTATGACTGTTCAATTTTCGTATTTAAAGAATTTCAATTAAATTATGACTTACACAACCTGATTTTTAAAATCCATATTCAAATTCTAAATAAATAATTTCAACAAAAGTCAACTCGATGTTCGATGGTATATTCTGAAAATTAATTTAATTATATTTACATAAAAATTCTAAAAATATTATTCTTATTTCGACTTTTCTAATGTAGAGTTCTTCAGATATCTTTTATAAACTTTAAAAGCTTATTTTTCATATTAACTTAGTTAAAAATTTTAAGGGTCTTTTGCATCTCAAAAAACATCTTTAGAATTAAATTCATTAAAAATTCTATTTGAATCTATTTTTAAACAAGGAATTACATATAGGCCTACTACTGCTTTTCATGTCGCAAATATTCATTTCTTAAAAAGTATTAATTTCTTTTTCAATTATTTACTATGAACTAAAATTGAATTACTTAGTATTAATGCATTAGAAAAAATTCTATCCGCATATATATTTAAATTCCATTACTTCGGTTTAAGTGAATTTGCATTTTTTTAATTATTAATATATGAACTTAGTCGTTCGGTATAATATTAGACAAGAAAATGACTGAAAAAAAAAATAAATTGATTCAGATGGAACATTTGGCATTCTGCAGAAATAGTTTTCAAAAAATCCGAGGATATTAATTTTAATAAAATAAATAAAGCATGTTCTAAAATTTTCTATTGATTATCATTATCTGTAATTGAATGCCAGATCAACATCATATCTAGCATTCAGTTGTTACTATCCGAGATATCCGACGATGCTCGGGAAAATTTGATATTGCACCCTTGATCGTAAAAAAATTTATTAAAAAAATCTATTTACATTGCTTTTAAGAAGGTCAAGTAAGGAATCTTTGGACAGAAAAAGTTGTGTGCGTTACACAAACTACTTATCAGTTTGGAAACTTGGTCTAGGAATTAAATTTAAAATGAAAAAAGTAGTTAAAATTAGACAAAAAGTGTAGAAGTTTATAATAATTATCTGAAATAGTTGTTAAACAAATTCTGTATCTTTTATTGCAGTAATTATAACACAATATAATATTTTAAAATGAACTGGAGCTTTCATTAATTATTAAACAATTCTTATTTATAAAATAATGCACTAAACTTAAATTATCACAAAGCGTTAACGAGATGAAATAAGGAAAGTGGCTGGGATTTCCAAGATAACATAATATCTTTCGCTGGGTCTTAGAGAGTAAGATAAAAAATTTGGTCCAGATCGGTCAAAGGATTTCTGAGTTAATAAGGAATTTATACAGACAACAAATATTCTATTATAAACATATAGATTACTGCTTACAAGAAAATTTAAATAATAATGCAATATCTAGGCATGTAAGAGTAACTCAACAATATATTCGTTCTGATTAAAAATAACAATAATAAACATAAAAAAATTGCATTTTAATATGATTTAAACATAAGCAAAAAATTTTGAATAAAAAACTTAAGATTCAAAAATGTTTTATTATAAAAACGAAAACGTAAGAAAAAAAAATCAGTTGTATCACTTTTTGAGTGACTTTAGCCGATAAAATGTAATTTATAAATATAGAATTTTTCTTTATGCATAATAAGCACAATTTTTAAAATTAAATAAAATTTATATTTAGGATTCTATATAGCCTAAATATAAAAATTTTTCGATTTGAATAATTCTCTCCTTCACTATTGTAACAACAATGTAAACTTCACTCTAGCTGTAATATTTTACAACAGAAATATCAATTTTGTTATAAAAAAATATGAAAATTATAAAAACAATTGCAATTAAATGTTTTTAATTTTTAATTATCAAACTACTTTAAAAGTTTATTAAATAATTAAATTAATCAATAAGAAGAAACTATTTTATAAACTGTATTTTTGAGAGTTTATAAATTTTACGCTATTAATTAATAATTATCGCTGCTTTTCTTTATATACTCCTTTATAGTATATTAATTCATAAATTCGATGTTTCTATTACTATTGTAATTATAACTGTTATGACAAAAATATATTTTCGTACATTATCATTAGTGACGTACGCGTATTTAGATATCGGCATTCTTTTCATCATCAAATTGAAATAAGAACATTTCAAATTCTAAAGTACAAAAATTCATCGAAAAAAGTTATAATATCATTGAAAATAATTTATAAAAGCATTTTCAAATTTTTTTATATTTCTATTTTTGCATTAGCCGAATTAAGTTTACAAAGGTTAGAATCTTACAATTTTTGCATATTGGAATACATCTAAAAACCTTTAAGTAGATTTTAAATTACTTTTTATAC